GACCCTGTATAGGGTTTCCGAGGGTGTAAATCTTTACGGGAGTAGAAAGCCTCATCTTTCTCCCGCGGAGCACCTGGTAGTTTCGAACTGCTGACCTTAAGGTTCGCAGCCCGATTCGTAACCACTACGCTACCAGAGCTCCTTAAAGGTGACTAATAACACTTGGTATATGGGGGGCGGGGGCTTTACAGATTCCACAGGAAAATGGAATGAAAAGATAATAGAATCTGTCCACGGACTTTTGAAGCCCCTTGTTCTTTTTCTACAGTGTTCTAGAAATCCAGGGGTGTTATGTGGCCATCATACGACAAATACATTAACTGGGTTCTCATCTAGATTCTTTTCTCTGATTTGCTTTATTCTAACCACTCCTGGTATGGTGCTGTAGGATAAACACTGGACTACAAACCACAAGGTCAGCAATTCAAATCCACCAACTGCTCTTCGGAAACCTATACAGGGTCGCTTAAAGTTAGAACTGACTTGATGGCACTTAACAATAACAACAACAACAATCACTAGTGTAAATGGCCACCAGTCTGTGCGTTAGAGTCTGATTTCAGGTCTGCACATGGAGAATTCAGGGTTGATGTTGTCATAAGGACATTTTCTAATCTCGTTTGTGTGCATGTAAATTTGGTTCTCCCACTTTATCTTGTCTTCTTGCAGTTTCATGTGGAGGGCAGTGCCACATCTTGTCTTTTGTCATTGTTAAACACACTCATGGCCCCTGTGTGATGAGTCCTGGTGAAGGTTGGCACTTCTGGTATGCCAGGCCTTTGAAGCAGGAGATGAGAATGCATCAGAAGAGTGAGACGTAGACACGGTGCTAATCTTGGACATCTTGAGGAGTGGAGTGCCAACCTGACATTGCTGAATGAATCACCTTCATAAATTGGTCTTTGCATCTGGAGGGAAAAGGCCCTGTTCAGACTATAGTGCGGTGTTTGAAGTTTCTGAATGCACACTTTTTCCTTGGAAAGGAACCATTAAGAAAGGAAACTCTGCTCTCCTCGTGCCCCCCTCAGCCTCACTCCTCAGTGACTTAGCAGAATGTTTCTGTTTTCTTCAGGTAATTAAGCCGGAGAGCAATGACAAAGAGACTGACACTGCCAATGAGTCAGATATCCCCGAGGAGCTCTGCAGACGCCGTCCCCTGCCCCTGTCCCCAAAAGGCTGCGATGATAGTCCTGATGTCATCATAGAGGCTCAGTTCGATGGTAGTGATGTGGAAGATGGACATAGCAACACACAAAGTGTGGTTATTGATGGCATTCAGAAACTCTCTGTTTGTGTTCCTGAAAAAGGTGAGTGTTGGGCTGCTGTTAGACATGTTGCTTTTGTAAACCTAGTGTGGGAAGACGCGCTCTCTCCCTGCTGCAGAATGAGCTACACAGGACTCAGTCGCTTCACAGTGTCTCTCCTGGGGCAACTCTGTGGGAGGAGGGTTGTAGGCTGACGGGCTTCCAGCTGCAGTTACAAGAGGAAAGAAGATGCTGGGGGGAGGGATGTGGGGGGGTCAGTGGTGACTTCTGTCCTGTTCATAATAGGTTTGGGGGTGTATTAATAGTCCACTTCCAGATTTCTCACGTGGAGTTCAGTCCCATCCTGAGATTGATATTCTCAGAATTAAACCAGTTTTTCAAATCCTTACTAAAAAACAGCACTTTCCTTTACCCTGGACTTTGGTTCCATTTGGTACATTTATAAGTATTTCTGTGGCGTGAGGGATCCCCTAAATACATAAGCAGATTATTTCTAGAAAATATTGGGATTCTAATCCCATTTAAAAGTCAGTTTTATTTTCTGTGATTGAAATTGCTGTCACAAGTCCTCTGGTCACAGAAGACAGCAACTAGAGACACCTGAGTGAGATCCTGGGTCCAGGATCCTACCTGACCCACTCTGGGATATAGGAGGGACCATGACAATGGATTCCTTTCTGTTTAGAACTTTCTAAGAGTGCCACGTGGAGCGTGTATGTTCTCCAGCCAAATGGAGTGCTGGGAGAGGTTGAGCCCAACTGCTCTGGCCCAGGCAGACTAGATAGTGAGCTGATCTGGAAGACGTGTCTGGCACAGCCCGCGGGAAAGGCTCGGAGGAAGGCCAGCAGATGAGTAAGGGAGATGTTCCACATATACGTGTGCACCCCTCACTCCTGTCCGGAAGGAGCTGGGGGAGATTTCTGCATGTGACCACCTGAGGATGGCCCTGCTTCTCTGCTGCTGATGAGCAGGGGCCTGGAGTGAGAGTGGGCTCAGGGTTCATGTGGAAACACTTTTCAGCCCGGAAATTCTCCTTGAATGGAGCAGCTCGTGCTTCCTCGCTCCTTATCGAGCATTCTGATCGGGACACCCAAGCTCCCGTGGTTGTCCCTGTGACCTGCAGAGGCCCCATGGTCTCACTGGTCAGCACCCATCCAGTTTCATTTGGGTGCTCTCTTGCATTTCACTCTTCAGTGCTTCTTCCTCCGGTCTATCTCTGAACACAGTTGACTGCCATGGCCCTCTTCCTAAGTGCATGAGTACTGTCAAGCAGTTCAGTGTGTGACTCGTGTCTTTACACTGGAAAGAGAGGGAAGTATCCAGGACCTTACCGAGCCAGGTCCTTCCTTAGCAAGCTACTGAGGAAGAAAAGTAACTCAGGAGGAAGACAAAGCCAGGCACAGGAGCACTTTAAAACCTGCTGAATGTTTGACCCTAAATGACTTCGTGGAAAGCTAGCTCTGGTGACCGACCCGGCTTGGCAGCCCTCTGCAGCCTCTCTCCTTCTGAGCCTCAGGTCGAAGGGGTGAAACAGCTGAAGCTCCTATGAGTGTGGCTGGCTGGAAGGATGGGACAACCGCTGTCTGGGAGAGGACATTAGTTTGGGAAATTTTGATGTCAGACTTGGTCGGGATTAATGCTCTAGTGTAATTGCCCTCCCTCCCTTGTATAAGGAAAGACATGTGATTCCTTCATTCCTCTTACTTCTCCCTCTCCTATTGGTATTTCTAGTGCTTCCTTACTAACCCTGCCTGAAGAAGCCGCCCGTACTTCTTCCCTTAGTGTCTGGTACAGATTTCTTTTCTTGCTAGCCTCTAAATAGAGTTTGTGGAAACTACATGGCTGTTTCTCATTTCTTGCCCTCTTGATATTTAGGAAAGTTGCAATCTGCTCTTTTTGAAAAAACTCACAGTGTCTTTTAGGATATTCCAACCAGCATCTGTTGCTCAGGATAATATAAAATCTGGTTAAAGTTAGGAGTGTTAAAACTTTTGGCACCATTTTCAGTTTTGAAATGTGTTGCTGAAAGACACCATAGTCTTAAGAACACCAGGCACTTTTCCTAAGACTTCTAGAAAGGGTTTTGGTGTTATGCTATAGTTATAAATAGATTATTAATCCTAGTTCATCTTTGCATTCCAGTTGCTTTCTACTTTTGCTCTCCTGTCTTCTTTTCAAGTGGGTAGTGGTGTAGTCATAGCCTGTAAGATTGCTGATCAGGACGTAAAATGCACTTACAACTCAAGCCCTGTACTAAGCCACTCATTTCCTCCCGGGAAGTCTCCCAGAGCAACATTGGACAGGGAACCAAGCCAGGCAGAGCAGCAGTTCATTCATGGTTGACTGAGCCCAAAGTATCAGGGTTACTCCAGTTGACACTCCCACTAGCAGTGCATGACACTTCTTCGGCCTTCTCATCCCTGCAGCAGTTGGAATGACCTAATTTTCTAGTTATTGTAGTCTTTAAGTTCTGGTGTGGTGCTGTGAGTTAATGCACTAGACTGCAAAGCCGTTTGAACTGCAAGGTTGGTGGTTCAAGCTCACCACCACCTGCTCCTCAGAAACCCTTTCCAGGGTCTCTATGGGTCAGAACCAATTTGACAGCACTTAACAACAATGCAACAACAAGTTCTGTAAATTTCCTTGTCATGGTATTTGCCCATTATCCTGATAGTTGCCATATATTTACACAAATAAAATGTCACCACTTGTTGTATGTACTGTGGTGGCATTTGTGTTCTGTGATGCTGGAAGCTATGCCATCAGTTTTTAAAATACCAGCTAAGACATCCAGAGTGGACAGGTTTAGCAGAGCTTCCAGACTAAGACAGACTAGGAAGAAAGAAAGGTGGACCACTTCTGAAAGGATAGCCATTGAAAAGTTTATGAATAGTGGCAGAACATTGCCTGATATGGTGCTGGAAAATGAGCTCCTCAGGTGGGAAGGGACTCAAAATACGACCGGGGAAGAGCTGCCTCTTCAGAGTAGCTGTTATTACCTGCCATCAAGTCCATTTCAAATCCTAACAAGCCTTTAGAGGGTTTCTGAGGAGCAGTTGGTTGGTTTGAACCACCAACCTTGCATTTCATACCAACCTTGCGGTCCAGTGCTTTATGCTACAACACTACACCAGGACTCCCTTCAAAGTAGACCTTATCTTAATTACTTGGATGCAGCAAAGATTTTAGGACTTTCATTTGCTGAGTGGGCACAACTCAAAATGAGAAGAAATAGCTGCAAGCTTTTATTAATAATTGGAACATGAAATGTAATAAGTATGAATCTAGGAAAATTGGAAGTTGTCAGACATGAAATGGGATGCATAAAGATCCATACATTAGGAATTAGTGAGCTGAAATGGTATTGGCCATTTTGAATCGGACAATCATACAGTTTACTATGCTGAGGATGACAAAAATGAAGAGGAATAGCGTTCATTATCAAAAAGAACATTTCAGGATCTATCTTGAAGTACAATGCTGTCTGTGATAGGATAATATCCATATGCCTACAAGGAAGACCAGCTAACATCACCATTGTTCAGATTTACACACCAAACACTAAAACCAATGATGAAGAATTTGAAGAATTCTACTATTCCAGTCTGAAATTGATCAAACAAGTCATCAAGATGCATTGATAATTACTGGTGGCTGGAATGCCAAAGCTGGAAATAAAGATGAAGGATCTATAATTGGAAAATAGGGCCTTGGTTATAGAAATGATGCTAGTGATCCCATGATAGAATTTATAAGACCAGTAACTTAATCATTACAAATACCTTTTTTTCAGCAACATAACGTGGACCTTACCAGATGGAATACACAGGAAAGTCGAGTTGACTACATCTGTGGGAAGAGACACTGTTGAAGCTCAATAACATCAGCCAAAATAAGGCCAGGACCAGCTGTGGAACAGACCTTCAAATGCTCTTATGCAAGGTTAACTTGAAGCTGAATAAAATTCAAATAAGCTTATGAGAGCCAAAATATGACCTTGACTATGCCCCTCCTGACTTTAGAGACCATCTCAAAAACAGATTTGATGCATTAGACACTAATGACTAAAGACAAAAAACATCATATGTAAAGAAAGCAAAAGATCATTAAAAAGATAGGCAAGACAGAAAAGACCAAATGGATGTCAGAAGAGACTCTGAAACTTGCTCTTGAATGTATAGAAGCTAAAGTGATGGAAAGAAATGATGTAGTCAGAGAGACTTCTCACTGCTAGAACCGTGAGAGAATCAACTTCTGTTATTTTAAACCATCCAATCTGTGGTGCTTGTTATCCGAGTCTGGGGAAATTAGTATATTGTCAGTACAGAAAATATATTGTCAGTACAAAAAAAAAGCTTTTTTGTTTTTTAATTTTTTGTTGTGGATTATGTGATCATTTCCTTGGGAGAACATTAGGTTTACATTCATCCTATCATATATTGTTTCATTGCCATGATTACAATCCCCTCCATGCATTATCAGACAACGAAAGGGTATACCCTGCAAGCCATCCTCCTGGTCATCAGCACACAGCTCCTCTCCCTCTCTGGGTCTAGAGTCCCCAGCTGCTCCATCTCTCCTCGTCATTGTCTCTGCCTCCATCTCTGGTGTCACTGTTTTCTCTGGGTAATGTCCCACACTCCAGTCTTCTCCCTTGATGGTCCCAGGGATCTTCCCTCCTGGACTGCAAAACCAACCACTCCCCTCCTTTTGCTACAAAATGTCTACCTTTACATATCCAACCCTTACAGTCAGGCCTGATAGCAATTATGGAGTAAAGGTTTTAAAGAGATTGACAATAGGTTGAGAGAGATTTTTGAGGAAATGTATAAAATTGCTACAACGATTGTTTATCTGAACATACTGTAAAGTGCTGCCCTGTGAGCCCCTATTGAGCTGCTAGATAGTTTTGTCAAAAAGTTATGCAAAAGCCCCCAGGTTCCAATCTTTGCTTTAAGTAGTAAATGCTGGCACGAATAACCTTGCAAATGGAAATTTATTACATCAAAAAATACATAGATGTATTTTTTTCCACTGTGATT